TTGAGGAAAAAAATATTTTTGTAAGTCAACAGTGACTTGGTGACTAACAATGCGAGTCAGAGAAGCCAGAACAATTTCCCTGTTCTTTATGATTTGACCACATATTATTATAAATATCTGTGGAACACCATCATTCTGTGTGAGTTTGATTCATGTATAAACAAAAGTCTAAATTTTGTGTTGCAGTCTGATGAAAGCAGGAAACAAGCCTCCGTCTACCACTACGCCAGGAAAACCAAAGAAAGCCACCACCTTCCAAGAGTTTGAGAGCATCACCAGTGATGCCTGGGACGTGGGAGATGATGATGATGAACTTCTCGCTATGGCAGCCCAAAATCTCAACATTGAGGTTGTCATGGAGACAGCCAATAAGGTGATAGAAAACCACAGCAAGCTGCAGGAAAGAAGACAGCAGCAGATGGACAAGATGACTGAGCCTGATGAAAAAGATGGACAGGAAGCACATGAGGAAGAGGAAGAAGAGCCAGATGAAGAGGACGAGAGAGAGGAAGGGGCCGAGATAACAACAGATCTGTCGTTCAGTTCAGAGACTCTTCCACTAAGTGACAACAGAATGGTGAAGTCACACAGTGAAGCTCCTGTCGGCTCACCTAAAGGTCAGTCAAACATCAGTACAACTGCATTTCCTGTCTCTGTTTACTCTTTTAGTCTAGTTTATTGTTTGACTGCTTGTGTAGCGTGAACAAATCTGAAATTAATCTTTGATTGTAGTGTTAGTACGTGTTGTGTTTGTAAACTAAAAAATGTAATTGAATAAAATAAAATATAAATATTGATTGATGATGAAAAAAGTAGTTGAAAAAAAAAGTTGGAGTAGAAAAAAAAACAAACAAAAAAAACAACTGAGAGTCTGTGAATATGTGTTCCCCATTCTAAAGTGTTATCGGATTAATGAAAATGACTAAAGTACAAAACAAAATTACTAAAACTTTAGATAAACTGAAAATATAAAAAAAAATAAAGCTAATAGTATATAAATAAGACTAAAATAACACTAGTCAATAATAATAATGACAATAATAAATTGTGGTCTAGGGGTGGGTGATATGGCAGAAATATCATATCTCTGTATTTTTTGGAGGAAAAAAATCACGATTTTAGCACAATTTGTCATGTTGGTTTTACTATTTTGCAAATTGTCTGAGCAGTACAGCCAAACTAATTTCCCGATTAAAAAAAAACAAAGCCTTACAAGGTAATACAAAGTTAAATAAAAAACAATGGCAGCTATTTAGGCCAAAGTGGTCGAAGATAAAAATCTTTGTCATTATTTTATCTTTGTTATAAAAAAAAAATGAACAAAGATACACATTACAAATACACATAATGTACAAATAAAGCAAACGGTGCTTTAATTTTCAGGTACAGTGGATGTATTTAGCAGTAGCATTCAAGAAATTGAATGAACAAATTAAAAAATAAAACACTATATACACTTGTATAAATTATACATTGATTCTTATTAAAGCAAATATATTGAAGTTCTTCAGGCAAGAGCAGTGAGTGATTTTTCTCTGTGTTTTGTTGTTTTATTAACATTAAAGGGATAGTTCACCCAAAAATGAGCATTCAAGAAATTGAATGAACAAATTAAAAAATAAAACACTATATACACTTGTATAAATTATACATTGATTCTTATTAAAGCAAATATATTGAAGTTCTTCAGGCAAGAGCAGTGAGTGATTTTTCTCTGTGTTTTGTTGTTTTATAACATTAAAGGGAATGGTTCACCAAAAATGAAAATTCTGTCCTCATTTTCCTTATTTTTTTTACCCCCTACTATCAAAGTCAATGTGGACCAGCAACTGTTTGGTTATCCACATTCTTCAAAATATTTTATTTTGTGTGTTCAGCACAAGAAAGAAATTAATACAGGGTTGGGACAACATGAGAGTGAGGGTGAACTATCCCTGGGTGAACTATCCCTGCTGACAAGCAGCAGCATGTTTAGTTAACTAGCTGTGTCTGTAAACCTTGTTTTTGACAGTATTAGCGCAATCAGACACAAAAGATAACTTAGTCCAGTATAAAAGTCAAATAAACATTTAATAATCTATAAGCATTTCACAGGTTTCTACGTACACTAATAATATGTGCTGTCATTACACCATAGTTATACAAATGAATAAGATCTATCCATTTATTTTCATTCAGTGTGATGGAAACTGATGGACAAATTTTAGACCCTAAAATATTTGTTTTCCTGTGCAAGTGGACAACAGTATCACAGCCTTCATCTTTCAGTTGCAATGGCTAGGCTTGCCGCGATAGACGGTGTTGACGGTTATACCGGTGTTAAGCCGCAACCGGTTACGTCACTTGATCACCGCGTCACCGACCCCCACCGTCGTTTTGATTTTTTTTATTGAAATAAAAATCATTTAGTTCAGTAAAAGAA